AAGTTGAACAGAGCAGCAAGTAATAAATGTTGGAGAGGATATGGTGAGATAGGAACTATGTTACATTGTTGGCAGGGTTGTGCAATGGTACAACCACTCTGGAAGGCAGTTTGAAGTTTCCTCAAAAAGCTGAACATAGAAATTCCATAAGACCCAGCTATTCCACTACTTGGAATATACCCTGAAAAAATGAAAACTGAGTTTCAAATGGAAACTTGTACACCAATATTCATAGGAGCATTATTCACCATCGCAAGAACATGGGAACAGCCCAGATGTCCAACCACAAACAAATGGATTGAGAAGCTGTGGTACATTCATACAGTGGAATAAAATGCAGCACATAGGAGCAATGATTTTGTAAATTACTACCTAACTTGGGAGGGGCTGAAGAATACTATGCTGAGTGAAATAACTCAGTCCCACAAGGACAAATACTGTATAAAACCATTACTGTAGATTGAGTACGAAGATCCAAGACTGAGGGAGGCGGGTGGAAATAGAAGGGTGAGGAGGGGGAAGGTAGAATGTTAATCATAGGGTTGCACAATTCATGGGTGGGTGGGGTAAAGGAAATGGGAAGGATCTTTTGTGAGAAACAATGTATTCAAACTTTGTAAATAAGTCAGAATAAATTCTTTTTTTAAAAAAAAAAAACCCAACTCCTATGTCCTTGCTATTATAAGTCTTGGGAATGCCAAATGATTAAAATGATTGAAAGTAAAAGTGAATTAGGGAAATTTTTATTTCAGAAGCCAATGAATGAGTTATAGGCAAGAAAAGCTATAATCAAAGCTAAACTAGAGAAAAATCAATTTCCTGAGCTATAAAAAATTCTCTACCCAAACTACTTCTACAGAAGCCTAATGATTTCTTAGAGGTAAAGATTTTGAAGCTTAGTCTCACATAGTTTGGGCATGCTGCCAGGAGGGACCAGTCCTTGGAGAAGGACATCTTGTTTGGAAGGGTGGAGGGACAGCACAAGAGAGGAAGACTTTGGATGAGATGGATTGGCTCAGTGACTGGGGTAATGGGGATAGTATGTCGGAGAAAATGAAACTGGCTCAAGATAAGAATAGGATTCAGAGCTTTTGTAGGGTTGCTATGAGTTGCAAACAACTAGACAACACATCACAACTAATAACATTAAAGAGTCACATGGTTTAGAAGTCACTAAAATATACATAGCTAATAATTCCAAGGACTGAATTATTTAAAAGTACTTACTAGGGCATCCTTAGGGACCTGAGTATGCAATTATTTTACAAATAACTACTAAGCTAAAGTTCAAACCCACTCAGTTGTTTTGCAGAAGAAAAGACCTAAAAACTGCTTCCATAAAGACTATAGTCAAGAAAACCCTATCGAGCCGTTGTACATATGAGATCACCTGATTCAAGGTCCGGTACAGTGTTCAGACTGCAGTTCTAGTCCACTTTAATGGGGGATACAGGCAAACCAAAAGCTCATGTATATGCATGCTGAAAATGGAACTTTTTTCCTTTAAATTAGAGTCCTGAAAAAAAGTACCTTCAACTAGAGTTAAGTCTTAAAAGTTTAATGAAGAGACTATTTACAAAGATGTGGTCAGAGTTTAGGGAAATTACAAAAAGCAGTACAGTCTCTCAGAACTATTTACATTTCTTGGACCAAAGGAGGGACAAAGAAACTAATCAATTATAGGAATTCAGAATAAGGAAGTAATAAAGAGGACCAGCTTAAGAGGAACTATATCCTGTGGTCAAGCCTGTAGCCATTCTAAGGTAACACTTCCTCACTCTATTCCCTTCCATTTGCTGAACTTATCATTGGCCAAATCCAACTGGAAGCTGGTTGATAAAGGAACTGATTACTATAATCCACACAGGTCAGACTCTCAGAGAGCAGAGGGAAGCAGATCAGGAGAGGTGAACAGAAAATACCCAGCCAAGATGTGTGATGTGTGTAAAGATATGCAAGTATGTAAACAAAAGTTTCAGTCTGTGGGTAGAAGGGAGGGTAAGATAGAGTCACTGTTTATTATTTAAGAGTCAACTGAAAACTAAAGATAAGAAAACTCAGGACACCTGAGAACTGATGATGTTCACTGAAGGGGTGTAGGTATGTCACCAGCTCACTGGATCTCAGTTTCTTCACTAGCCTTGGGTGGCCACTAAGAATGCCCTATGATTGTGTGCAGTGAGATTGAGTAATGGGCAGAACATTCCAGTAATAGGCATCATGTGTGACAGCTCATGGGGACTTTTTATTTACCGTAGAACCTCTCCTGCAGTAACCCCTAGGAGACCTCTCTGAAGCTTCCCTGAACTGACAGTGCTGCTAATCAAGAAACTCCTGTGACAGCCTCTACAAAACCGAGTTGGCAGGATGGGTAAAGCATTAAGCTACTTTAAAAGAGTGGTGGTGAGAACCCACTAGTGGCTCCGAGGGAGAAAAGATCTGGTAAGTGTGTTCCCGTAAAGATTCCAGCCTAGAAAAACCTATGCCTTGTCCAACAAGGTCGCTATGAGCTGTGATCAGCACAGGAGCACACAAAAACAGCACAACAACCTTGAAATAACTCTTACCTATTGCACTGTCATTCTTTGTCATAACAAAGGAGAGAAGTACATCACGCAGGCCATCTCCATTCACATCAGCCAATTCCAACGGAGACAGGTCTCCACCTAATATACACAAAGAAAAGGAAGCAAGTTAACATCAATCAGTTCTCTTCTCTGGAAAACCCAGGCTGACTTTTCCATTGCCACCTATTTTTCCCAATTCTTCCCACTAAGTATAGCCAAAGTCCCTTTATTTATTGTATATTTGTGTTATTTATTACATATTATTTAGCACACATGCACACACATGCACACACATATACATATAAACTACACAACACACATATATATTTATATAGAAAAGAAACGCAGATTAAAAGGTAGACAGCAGAAGGCAGACTAGCGTCCTGGGGCCTGAAGAATGACACGGATAAGTTTCCTGGGTTTTCTTTCTGCTTCCTACATCCTAGACAGGGTACTGGAGAAGCCTGCAACCCAAAAATGCCAAGAAGCTTCCATATTTAAAAGCCTTAGGGAAGCTGGCTCTCTGTAGTCAAAAGGCCAGAGAGAAGAATATGGGAAAAGAGAAAAGTTTTATATAATAACTGCTCTACTGCACTAACACTACAGAAAACAAAAAACTGCATAATCACTCCCAATCCACAGCAAAGGCCAATGGAAGCCTGTTTGAACAAGGTACCTATCTCTCTACCTCTAAAGTGGCAACAGAAAACTTCTATTCTCCCACACCCTCATTCCTCACCAAGACATAAGGGAAGCCTACACTTCCAACCCCACTCAAAGGTAACATGGTTAAGGCATTCAACTGCTAACCAAAACGCGGGCAGTTTGAAACCACCAATCACTCTGTAGAAAAAATACAGTATAGGGGTCTTAAAAGCTTGCAAACAGCCATCTAAATGTACAATGACTGGACTCTCCCTGTACATAACAAAGAAGAGGGGAAAAAAAGAAAGCATGTATGTTTTTATATGCCATTGAGTCAGAACCAACTCATAGCTAACCTTCCAGAGAGTTTCCATAGGCAGTAAATCTCACGGGAAGAGACTGCCCTTCTTTCTCTGGTGAAGGAGATATGGACTCGAACAGTGTGCCTTTGAGACTGCAGCAGGTTCTTACCACCCAGAATTGTATACCAATGAAGGAGTTTTTCTTTTGCTTTTCAAGGAGAGGAGCAAACAGGGGTTGGGGGTGGGGTGGGCAGGGAGAAAAGTGCAACAATGAATGAATGGAATTCCAAAATCTCTGTAGATGTTCATTGAAATTAAAAATAAATAAATAAATTTTTAAAAAAAATAATGTTGAGACCAGAAGAACTAAATGGTGCCCAGTTACTACCATTACTACCATGAATCACTCTAAAAGAGATCATAGTAGAAGATCCCGGACGTTAGGGAAAATGTGGAACAAAACTCAGAAAAAAAGAACATGCTTACTGGTCCAACTGAGAGACTGATGGAACCAAGACTATGGTCCTTAGTTACTCTTTGAACCTGGAAAAAAACTCACTTCCATAGTTCAACTTTCAGTCAAACAACACCCATGCCTTTGGGGAGAATAAGATCACCAGAGAAGTACTCACTCTTCAGAATAGCCGTAAATGCTGAAAAAAAGCAGCACTTGCCCCTAAGTAAAGCCCAGAAAACATGAATAGGTAGAACAAAAGGATTAATGGGAATGATACTTGCAAAGAGAAAGTAGGGGGAAATGCAATTGTATTGTGGATGTTAAAATTAATGTCATAAAACAAAATTTAAAGAAAAAACAAAACACAACACCCCAGTTTGCTCTGTAAAACTTAAAGAAATAAATAGCCTGTGAGCACTGTCAAAAAAATGAGGTATCCTTCTTCCATAAAGATTTAATGCTTTGAAAACCCTGTGGGGAAGTTCTACTGTCCTATAGGGTCACTCTGAGTTGAAATTAACAGAAGTGGTTTTAGTAACATACCATAAATCATAGCCACTCCATTTTTGCCTTAAGAGAAGGTTAAAACACAGAACTTATCAGAAGCTAATTCAATTGGAATCAGAGAAGTGTCAAAGTCAAAATACTGCTAGATCATGATGATACAAGGGACCTGGGCACAGACTAATCTAGTTTATAAAGAAATATTTGACACTTAACAGTACTAACAGTTTAGACATAATCCTAATCTTTGACCTAGATGCAGAGAATCAGCTGGAATTGCTTAGGTAGAAACACACTAGCTATCAGCAGAAAAAAAAGAAGGCAGCAACCCTCTTTTATATAAAATTATTTTTAAATCATTTCACTTAAAAGGGTTGTTGTGTTGTTGTTATGTGCTGTCGAGTCGCTTGCGACTCATAGTGACCCTATGTACAACAGCCCTAAATTCTGCTCTGTCCTGTGCCAATCACGCCGTCTCCGACACACCCATCCCGATCACCCCAACCACTGAATCAATCCACTTCATAGGGGGCCTTCCCTTTCTACACTGTCCCTCCACCCTACCAAGCATGATGTCCCTCTCCAAGGACCTGTCCCTCCTTGCAACATGTCCAAAGTATGTCAGATGGAGCCTTAGAATCCTTGCCTCCAAGGAGCAGCCCGGTTTGACCCTTTCCAGGATGAATCTGTTTGTATTCCTAGGCCTCTAAAATCCATGAATGCATGAGGTTCCTACCAGAGCACTGCTCCAGCCAGTCTTGGGCCCTACTTTCCCTGTAAATACCACTTCTTACAGTTTTGTATGTCCCTGGCACAGTACTGGTACCACAGCAGGAATCCAGCAAATCAATGCCATGTCCTGTGTCTAATTAAGATCAATGCTGACAGAGACACAACAGAGTTGTAATTCCCAAGTTCTCTATATGTACTCTTCTAATCTTTCATTTGATTTAAGATCTGAACCTCCTAACCACTTTCACACACAGGGTGGAAAAGCTGCATGACATCCATTAATTTTTTTAAGACTTGGAATAGAACTAAGTACTAAGATAAACTATGAAGTTTTACAGAAGCAGGGCTGGAAATCCTACAACTCTCACCTCCATGGGGACCCAAGTGGCGACTCCAAGTGCTGTGCAGATCTCTAGGGGGGCATGGGATCAGGAAAGCACATACGAGCACCAGGATCATTGAGATCACCAAAGTCAGCAAAAAGACTGATGTGCGCACGTAAGACACCAGGGAAGAGGTCGCCTTCTGCTCCAGGTCCCCAAGGGGCTCTGATGGATACCGCTCTGTGGTGACTTCTGAGAGATGTGGCTTTGCAGCCCCTGCAACTTCTGCGTCAGAGTCAGGCTCTGGGGCTTCTCCCAGAGAACTCTTCCCATTCTTGACCCCTCCGTTCTTCTGCTGCAAGTTAAGCACCAGATCATCTTCACTCTCATCACTGTCAGCCTGTGTGAGGGGATCATACTCCCCTAGGTCTGGGCTTTTCTTCCCTGAAAAGATGGAAAAAGTTAGTCAAGGAGAACTAGGAAGGAGAAACTCTTCCCAAATAAATGCATAATAACAGTGAACACATGGAAAACATACAAACAAAAAAAGTAGGTTACATCAAATATGAACTTTAGTGCCTATTTCTAAAATGGTTGTTTTGTGCCATCAAGTTAACTATGACTCATAGTAACCCTATGAACAACAGCTCTGAATTTAGCCTTCTCCTGAGCCAATCTTACTGTCTCTAAAACACCTGATCCCAATGACACAGTCACTATGTCAATCCATCTCATCTAGGGTCTTCTTCTCCTGCATTGACCCTCGACCTTTCCAAGCATGATGTCTTTTTCCAAGAACTGGTACCTCTTGGCAACATGCCCAAAGTATATGAGCTGGAACTTCAAAATCCTTGCCATGATATAGCAACTCAGTTTTGCCCTCTCCAGGCTAGACCTGTTTGTTCTCTTGGCAGTATATGGCAGCTTAGTGGAACTGCACTGCCAACACAAGGCTACTGTTGTTGTTAAGTGCCATCGAGTCGTAGATGACTCATAGCGACCCTATGAACGAAAGACCTGAACACTTGTATAAGTTTCATAGTTTCTCTAAATTCATAGAGTTTCCGGAGGCAAGCTCTTTCAGAAGTGGATGCCACTCCTGCTTCCAAGCTTCTTTTAATGGGGGAGTACCACCACGGGTAAGCATTATCACATTTGACACATCAGTGTCACAGTGTTTAGCATCACAGCAACCACGAGTTACCTCTGTACAGCAAAAGAACAGACCAGTGCTATACCACTTAGAAGAACGTTTAACAGAAAAAAAACCCCACCAATTTAAACCAGGCCTGAGGGCCACAGATTAACACAAGGCTATGCAGTTTAAATCCACCAACTGATCTACAGGAGAAAAATGGGCAATCATCTTTTATGCAATTTACTGTTGTTGTTAGGTCCATCAAGTATGACTCATAGTGACCCTATGAATAGCCAACCTAAACCCTGCCCTATCCTGAACCATTTTCATCATCTCTGACACACTATAGCCAATTGCTGAAGTCATAATATCAATCCATCGTGTTAGGGGTCTTCCTCTCCTTTTTTGACCCTCCATCTTACTACCTGTAAAAACTCCCAACTCAATGGTACACGACAAAAACAGTTTCTAAAATAGATGCTAGCAAAGTGGTAAGAATGAAAGGATGAAGAAAATTAAGTTCTTAGTATTACACACCTTCATGAGCTTAAGAAGCTTGAAAAAGAGATAAAGATATTAGCAGAATTCAATTTTTTTTATTTAGTTACAACAAAACTAAATTACTTAGATCTCACTTATAATAACTTTCCATACAGTAATGTATAAAATCTCAGATTTTCGTAGATCTCTAATGTCCTAATCTTTCCTGATAAACTTGCAGAACAATTCTTCATATACGGTTTTTCTAAGGCCAGTATTTACGGCTTTTCAATTGTTTCTATGGAAACAACATAGAAAGTTAAGTACTAACCTTCATCTGAAATATTTTACAGAAAACTCACTTTTTAGAGCCTTCCTATGGTTCTAAATGCCCTTTCAGAGTAGGTATTTCTATAAACAGTATTTATCTCTATAAAATGCTATTCTGAGCAGGTATATTGGGAGGACTGGCACTGGAGTATGGAAGGTAGATGTACATTTGCCTTGAAGCTGGTTTGCATAGTTAGCATCCTGTTTTTACTTAGACTGTATGTTTATTTGGGTGGCTGAGAGGTAGAAATTACAGGAGGGCTGTAGCACACCCACCTCCTATCAAGCCATCCCTTGGCCATTACTACCAAGGACTAGATAATTGTATGCCTTCATTTCACTTTGTATCCAAGTGAAAGCCAAGAAAAAGGTTTCTGCTCATGGGGAATTACAGTTAACCCTGCTGTTCAAAAGTTCACCTCACTCCACTTCACTTTTATGGAAGACCTCTATGGTACCAGTTTCTGCTAACTTGAATGAAATTGAAGGAAATTTTTACTTTCATGGTAAAAAAGTTGAAACTGGTGTTCAGGCTTTGTCTTGCAGCAAGCCATTAAGGAGGCAGGGCACACACCAAGCTGCAGAAGAAGCTCCTTCTCCAGGAACACCCAGCACATCAGCACCAAACTCTCACAGCTCTGAGCTGTGTCTGTGAACACTACATGCTAATGTTATTTGGTAGTTCTTTTTGGGACCTGGGAACACTAAAAATTTTTCCATATATATTAATAGTAGTTGCTGCTTTGGCTTTCACCATTTCCTCTTACAGAAGGTTTCACTGGATTGCTCTACTTTCAGCTATTAAAGGAAATACCTGGTAAATTAATGTAAACTCTTGACAAAAATTTTGTTACAGGGAAATATTAAAAGATAACACAATCTAACTAAAAAGAGGAAAAAGAATTCTTGATGTTAATCTCTGCTTCAAGATCACTAGGATTTTGGTAATGTAATGTTATAATCTCAGTTTGCTTAAGAACTGAAATAAAGTAATAAAACCATTTCTGGAGACCATATGTGGGACAGGGAGCTCTGGTGGCCTAGTGGCAAAAAGCTGCACTGCAATCCCAAAGGCACGCAGTTTGAATTTAGCAGGTGCTCTGCAGAAGGATGAACAATCTCCTCCCCTGTGATTTACTACCTCTGAAAACCCACTTGAGGGTCCATTCTGACTCAACAGTACACAACAACAACATATGTGGGATACTAAAAAGTTTAGAGTAAATACTAATGCTCCATCAATAAGCATTTACTAACATTTTTTTAAAGTAAATTTTTATTTCATACCAGTTTGCTTATAAAGCTCTGATATATTGTGTTTTCACATTGGAACTTGACCATTTTCTTTACCCACCTCTCCCTCTATCCTTCAAATTGTGTGGCCCTATGATTATCCCCTGCCCACCCTCATCCCTCTATTCCTACCCCCTTCCCTTGGATCCTCATACCTATTTCAATAGTTATCTTTCTATTTCTACAATAATGGTCTTATACAGTATTTGTCCTTATGGGACTGAGTTAGTTCACTTAGCATAATGCTCTCCAATTCCTCTCAGGTTATGTGGTAACTTTCGAAATCATTGCTCCTGCATGCTGCATAGGATTCCATCATGCATTAACATTTTTAAAATGAACTTTTCACAGTATTATTTTACTACATTAAGTACTTTGCAAAAAAAATACATAAGATATTAAGTAATATGGCATTATGTTAACAAGACATTTCTATTGATTTTCACTTTGACAGATATTAATTTTCTCCAGAAACTATTGTATTTGATTTTTAAAGTCAGAAATTGCAAAAAATAAAAATGAACTGATTATTAGGAGTTTATTTTAAAATACTATTTTCAGAATAACCCACAAAGTTAGTACAGGTTCAAGCAAATCTCTTACAATTTATATATCTATTTTAGAAAACATATTATTGTATTAATCAGAATACATCATTGCCAACACATCTCAGACAGCTTATCGCACATAATAACTTGCAAACAGAAGCTTGCTGCTGTTGTTAGGTATTACCAAGCTCATTTCAACTGTCAGTGACCCAACATAATGGTCCCATAAGAACTACCCCACAGGGCTTCTTAGCTGTAACCTTTAGGGGAGCAGGATGCCAAGATCCTCCTCCAGAGTCACAGAGTAGGTCTGTAAAATTAACACTTTAAAAAAAAAAACAGAAAACATCTGACAAGAGGAAAACAAACATGGCATCCCAAAGCCCCAGGTTTCGAACAGAATTTGAGGATCCCATAATCTACTCCCGCCCTATTCCAAAACGGCAACTCCTGGCTAACTTTCAATAAGCAGTTATTCTGTCCACATGAACAGAACCAGTATCACATCTGCTCCCCTCCAATGCAGAAAGCAATTCCTTATGCTGAGTTGAGAGTCTATTTTCAGGTACTTATCAACTATCTGCCCTAGTTTTAATTTCTGGAGTACCTCTTCCATATATAAATCTTTCAAATACTTGAAGATACTAATCATAAGGGAAATATAATATTTAAGAGCTCAGCTCTTTACAACTGGACCAACAAGAGTAAAATCTTGTATTTCTTGCTGAGACATCAATAAATTTCTTAATTGTATTGAGTCTCAATTCCCCTGTTTATGAAATGGAATAACATTCCTATGTCACAGGATTGCTATGAGAGTTAAATAAGAGAATGTATTCATGCTTCTTTTTATTAGCACTCAATAAATCTAGCTTTTATTGTTACATACTAATACTGTTGTTATCATTATAACTATCATTACTGTTAAATTTTATCTACAATCTTCTCCCACTACTCACCTCCAAGTTAAACACCTCCACCTCTTCTAACTTGTTCTCTGAAGAAGCTCTGTTGCTACTTGACCTTACCATCCAGGCCACTCAACTCTTCATATAATGTGATATGCCACTGTTTAGGCAAATATGGTCTTATCTGATTTGGTTAATCTCCATAACAATTTGTGGAGGTAAACACATTACTATTTGCACTTTAGGGATGAGGAAACCAGAAGAATGAAAGTTTAAGTAGTTGGCCCATAGTTAAACAGTAAGTGTTAGTCTAGGATTCAAATCCAAGAAGGATACTCAAGTGTCTACTCGAGTGACTATCCATGTGCCTCCCAAGGAAAGGAACAAGCCTTTTTAAAGGATTAGAAAGAAGGGGAGTTCTGGTGGCCTAGTGGCAAGGAGCTGCAACTACAATCCCAGAGGCACATGGTTTGAATCCACCAGATGCTCTGCCGGGGAAGGAGGGACAATCTCCTCCTGTACTTGTCAGATCCGATTTGACGGTACACTCACGTAAGACTGAGAAAAA